CGGCCCGGCCCCGCCGCCCCGAGCGCCCTCAGGAGCCCAGTCCTGGGGCTCGGCGCCGGGGCTCCCGGGGCCTGGCTGGCTCCGCTCCAGGACGCGGTGTCCTGTCCACCCCCCCACACACACACACAATGGACACCTGTGCGATCGGCCGGGCACCCCGCACCCGGCCGACCCGGGGCGGCCCCCACCCACTTCCACTTCCCCCAGGCGTTGGGCGTTCCTCTTCCCCTCTCTAAGTTCAGCTTTCGACGCCAGCACGGAGGGGGGGTGCCCTTCCAGAATGGGGGTGGGTGGGAAAGGGGAGCACCGCCCCTACCCTACCCCACTCCAGGTGTGACAAAGCCCCATCCTGCCAACGGCCAGCGGCCCAGGCCGGGCAGCAGCGCCGGAGGCCCAGGGCCGAAGGCAGCCGGCCAGGAGGAAGCTGCGGGGGGCGGGGGGCCGCGCTCCAGCCCTCGGTTCCCACCACCCTCCCCGGCCGCCTTGGCAGCCCCCCGGTTCTGGGGAGACAGCCATCGGCGCCCCAAACAGAAAAGCGGTTGCCACCGCCTCCTCAGGCCTGACGGGGCGACAGGGAGGGGACAGGAGGGGGGTCCCCAGATCTGGCAGCTGGGAGGCACCGTCTGGTGCCGTGCTACGAAGCACAAGTGGGCCTGGCTGTCCGGCCCCCTCGACCTCCATTTTGCCCCCAAAGAGAGCAAGGCTGGGGGGGTCCCCAGGAGCTAGGTTATCTTGGGCTTAGGACTTATGAAGGAAAAGGGGTACCGAGTGTCCAGTCGATGGTTTGGGGGGAGGGAGACAGAAAACCAAGGGCAGACAGAGCCCAAATCGAGAACACAGGGTGGAGACGAGCGTGGCCCCGAGGCCTGGCCGACCTCTCCCAGGATTCTAGAGTTCTGCCAGACGAATGCCGCCGGGGTGAGAAACTGGGGAACACTGGGGTACTGTAACCCAGGGGCAGGCGGGGCGGGGGGAAGAGGGGGCGGGACGGAACCTTAGGAGAAACCCCCAATTTAGCCCCCCCCCAACTATCAAGGGAGCAAAAGGCAGGCGAGGCTGGGACGGGGTCTGGGGTCAGAGAAATGCGGCCGGTGGCGTAAGGGAGCGCATGCAATATTGG